AACCCAGGAGGCCATGGCATTCTAACACTCATCTCTAGTACTGCCTCCATTCTTTCCCCCTGGCAGAGCCAATTTTTCTGAAAAAGGCGTGACAAACGTCTCTCCACTTTCATACTTGCCATTTAATCCCTAACCCTCAACAATGAAATTATCACTAGTTTTTCTGTGTCACTAAATGGACTCTTTGCAGTCTCTGCAATATTTGACACTTCCTAAACGGCCTATTTGGCATCCCCGATGGCACTCTCTCCTAGTCACTCCTCCCATTTCTCTGGCTCCTCTTCTTAGTCTCCTTTGTGGACTCCTTCCTTTCCACTAACTATCCTTTAAGTGTTGGTGCTCCCTAGAGTTTTGTCCTCAACCTTTCTCTCCTTACACTATACATGTCCTGGACAGCATTTACTCCTGCATGCCTTCAGTTACCACCAATCTGCTGACATCACCCAAATTTACCCCTTCAGCTCAGCTCTTGGTCTGAGTTCCACACCATCCTTATACCCAACTTCCTTTGGGCAGCTCTACTTGGATGTTACGCAACAGCAGTTCTCACAAAAGTCTCTTTTGTATTCTCCAAAAGTCTCCCTCAAGACATTTTTTTAATGTATTTATTTTAAAATTTATTTCAACATGAGAAATATGCAGCAAACATATTTACATAATTATTATGCAACACTTTATTATATTTATTATATTTAATAAGGTTATTTTGCTTGTAAGCAATAGAAACCAATTCTGGCTAACTTAACTTTTAAAATGGCAATTTATTAGAAGGATACTGAGCTAGCTCATAAAACCAGAAGAGTGGAATAAGCAAGCCTCAGGAAGGGGATCCACAGGGGCTCTGAAGCAGGGGTTGAGTTGCCATTAAAATGTCTCGTTCAAAGGCCTCCAGCCTCTATCTTTCAAGTTTCATACTACTGGGAAAGACAATCTGACTGGCTGTTTGTATTAGGTGTGTACCTCCAAATCAATTAGCTATGGCCAGGCACAATATCACTTCTATGCATTAGAGTTATTTCCAAAGAAGGAAGAATCATCATGAACCAAACAACCACCTCAATACAGCTTTCTTCAACTTATGGCATCCCAGACAATTAATTACATGAGATCATCTAAGGAAAAAAACAGGATTAAATGTGCATTAATGCTCAGATAGCATTTCCCAATTAACTACCTGGGTAATATATGTCATTTACTTGATAATCTCTGGTCTTTCACAAGTTTTACCATAAATTCAAAATATAATCTATATGATTCAGTTATTAATTAAAATATTTATTCCAATAACTTTGCATTTATGACTAAAAGAATTTTTTTAAAAATTTACTACGAAAAATTTCAAATATACACAAAAGAATCTAATAAACCCCCATGTACTCATAAGTTTCAACAATTTTCAACATTCTAAAATGGTAGATGATTAACTTTTAAGATAACTACAATACTATCACCACAATTAAATTAAAAACAATCACTTAACTTCACGTAACCCAATCTGTGTTCATTTCTCTCAGCTATCTCAAAAGTATCTAAAAGATGTTTTAAATGGAAAGCAATGTCTTGTGGTTTTCAAACTGTGCTTTCGTTTTTAAAAAATTTTCTGAAAAAAAATTTTGTTTTATATTTTGTCTCAAACTATAAAATGGTTCAATAATGAATTCTAGTAGGCAATTAAGTTGAGAAATTACTATCTTGAATGCATCTCCATTTCAAAACTAAACTCATCACCTACCTTTACCAACATGTTTCACCTCTTGTATTCAAAGATCTCAATAACTGAACTGTCCAGCCAATTATCTGAGCTACAAATATGAGTCAACCTTGACAACTTCATCTTCTTCAAACTTTCTCATCCAATTGTTTACCAAGTCCTATCAATTCTACCTCTTTACTATCTTTTGAATCTGTCCTCCCTTTTCTTTCCATTCCCACTGGTTCAGGCCTTCATTTGTTTCCTGGATTACTGAAACTTTCTTACAATTGATCTGTTTCCAATCTTATTTATTTTCTAGTGCTACTAAAGAGATATTTCTATTATGCATATTTGGTCACATCATACTTTTGTATGAAAACCTTCATTGGTTCTCTGTGATCTGGACCCTACTTACATATTGCTTTGAGATGAAATCTCACCTTCCTCATGAAGCCCTCTTGGAACTGAGCAGAGATTAGCATCTTAAGTATACTTCCACAGTACCCTGTGCTTGCCATTACCATCATTTTTATTATTCTTTTCTATTTATACGTCTGCTTCACAGTTACTTTACCCCCACTGCAAGATCTTTAAGAGATCATGTCCTATTCTTTTTTACATTCTCAGCATCCACCAAGAAGGCCCACCAGCAAGTGACTATTCATTGGACGAATAAATGGGCTGCTAATTCCTGAAGATGTTGAAGCTGAGCCTGAAAGCCTTCAAGCTTTAGATAAATGAATGATAGATTATCCCTTCTAAAAGAGTTCAACAGTAAATCTTAACAAGCATGTCTCTGGGCTACTCTACAAACAGCTTCACCCCTACTGCCTGTACTGTGCACCCCACCATGCTTCCCAATTGCCACTTTCTTCCTACCTGCTTCGACCTCCTACTTCAGAGAGCAAACCTAGCCCTAACCAGCTCCCACATTTACCTTCATTCCCAGCTCAGTATCTCTTCATATCCATATTCATTCTTCCCTGTTAGCTACATTACTAGGATGTAGCAATCCTCTCAACTGCTCTACGAGGTTGGAGTTTATCATCTCCAATATACAAACAAAAAAACTGTGACTCAAAGAGGTTCATTCATTTATTTAGCAAACATTTATTGATCATCTTCTATATACCTGGCAGTATGCTGGGTACCAGACACCTAACATCATCAAACTTATAATCTAATGAAAATAAGGTGACATTAAATAAGTAAACATACAAATCTACATAAGCAGTATAAAAGGTACTATGAAGGAAAAGAACTAAGATTCCCTATGTGAGACTAACTGGAGTTGGTCTCCAGTTTTGGGGATGGGATCTGAAGGATGAGTAGATGTTAGCCAGGCAGAGTGGGAAGAGGGTACCAACAGAGAGAACAGCATGTGTAAGACCCTGAAGCAAGAAACGGGCTGGCTGACCAGTGTGGCTGGAGCAACGTTAGTGAGTAGGAGAGGACAGCAGATGAGGCCAGAGACAGGAAGAAGCAAAACCATGTGGGACCTTGTGGACCACAGGGAGTTTTGAGTTCTCTTCTAAGTGCAATTAGTTCTGCTGCTGCAAATATTTTATTCATTCTCATCTCATGGGTGACTGTGTGCTAAGATTGCTAGCTGACCAACCTCCAGTCTCTCCAAAGCCAATCCATGGCACACTCTGTTGCCAAGTAAATCTTCCTACAAAGGCAGCTCTCACTTTCTCAAACACGAAACTTAAGTAGTCCCCTCCTTTCTACTATATTGTCTGAATTACTTAGTCTGGGTCCCTCATACGCTTGATTTGTATCCCCAGATGACAAACTGACCTCCAACTATCAATAGTGATCCCCATACCAACTACTGAGTGTTTCTCCTTTCTTCATTCTCTTATACCTATCTGTGGGATCTCACTTCCTCATCAATCAGAACAGCAGTTCTTAATCTGTAGTCCACATGCCATAAAACTCAGGGGTCCATGAATTTAAACGGAATAAAAAAAAGCTACCTTAATTTTCAATAACATCTAATAACTGAAATTGTTTTATGGATGTAGAAAACAAATCTTTGTAGTACTAGCAGTACCTTAATGTTATCAATAGAAATCATCAATTAATATTTCCATGTCGCATATACAGACATCTCATAATATCTCTACTTTACAATTATGGGAGTTGTTAGACCTGCCAATAAATCATTTTAATGTATTAGTTAAGAAACAGTGTTTATAAGGAAACACAGTACTAGACCATGACACATTTCTTTAAATATTTTGATAATTGTATGTTTTATTTATGCATTTACAAATATCGTTGTTGGACAAAGTCCAAAGGCGCCACCAAACTGCTAAAGATGTCCACGACACAAGCTTAAAAACTCCTGATTAGTCATTTATTCAACAAACGTGAAATCTTCACCGGAGCCCTCTCTTGTTCTGGCTTACTCGCATTATATTGTTCTGCTTTTCCTTCTTGTTTGATGCTCTTCCATTGGTTCCACTCCTATTCTTGCCCCCTGTATGGGGATCCAACCCAAAGCTCAATCCATGACCCACAATTAAATTGTTTTATACTTCCTCCTTTATAAATCTCAGCTACTTGTATGACTGATTCAAATACTGCCTCAAAGACTCCCAAATCTCTCTCTCCTAATCTTTCTCCAATTTCAATCCTAGATCTTAAATTACCTGCTGTTCTTAGCAACCAGAATAACATACCATCCAGAGCAGACCACCTGGGTTCAAATTCCAGCTTGGTCACTTAACTAAAAGTGTGACCATGGGTAAATTATTTAACTTCTTGCTTCAGTCGCTTCATTTGAAAAATGGGGGTGATAACAACAGTATCTACTTTAAGCACTTAAAACGGGGCCTGGCACATTTCAAGTACTCAATAAATGTTAGCTATCACCAGTCTCATCTCCTTTCAACCCCTGACATTTTTACTTGGTGTTTATTAACAGGTATAGTGCTAACCACTAGGGATATGAAGATAAGAGTTCCTATCTGATGACATAATCTCAATCAAGTCATTGCTCAAAAACTTTCAATGGCTCCCCACTGAGTCCAAACTTAACAGCACTAGAAATTTTTCACAATATTGCCTCAAACAACTTTATTTTCCAGTCTTCTTTCCTCCTGCTCTACTTCTTGTAGCTTATATTCTATTATGGCCAGATTGGACTGCTCGCTCTCTGTAAAAATAACCTGTTGTTCTGCTTCTTTCCTCACATTATTCCAATGTCTCAAATACATACGTGACAGCAATTATGTCTTACTATGACTATTTCCCCAATACTATGAATGGTACCCTGTAAACATATACATTACCATCTTACCTAAGTCACATATTTTCTCAAGCATCAATTTCCTTCAACATTCACTCACTTTGTGAATACTTCACATTGGCCAGGTGTTGTATATAACATGGCCCTGTTCTCAAGATCAAAGTCTAATAAGGGAAAGAAACATGTTATCACATAAATGCCATTCGCTGTGAAAGTTGCAATTATAAGAGGAACACCAAGGAGTGAGCAGTCAGCTCAATTTGGGAGGAAGAGTAGGCTTTTCAGATGATGTTTTGGGGGTTTAAATGGATTGGGGAAAAGCCTATTCCATGTTAGACTGCTGTATGTATAAAATACAGCGGCATAAAACAATGGTGTGTCTAGGGAACAGATCATTATGGCTGGAGTATAGGGCACAAAAAGTGTCTAGGAGAGGTAGGCAGACCTTTCTGTCAAGCACAAGAATTTGGACATAGGGAAGGAGGAATTAAATAGTAGCACATGGCTAGAATTGTATTTTGGAAAGCTCACTCCTGGGAGTATTGTAACAGAGGCAAAGAGGAAAATCCAGAGCAGCACTACTCAAGAGAACTTTTTGCAGTGATGGAAATGTTTTAATTTGTGCTAATATGATGGCCATTAGCCACACGTGGCTGAAAACTTCAAATGTGGCTAGTGCAACTGAGGAACAATTTAAATACAACTTAAAATTGTATTTAATATTAATTTGAATAGCCACATGTAGCTAGTGGCTACTGTATTAAACAGTGCAGCTTTAGTGATAGGGAAAATCAGTTAGGAAGCTGTTGATGTAGCTCAGGTGACAGAACACGGACAAAGTGTAATTCAACGGACATTTTAGAGGCAAAATAAGTCTAGTGAACATAAAGTTTTGAGAAACAGCAATCAAGAATGGGCTCTCAGATTCCAGGCTTTGTGATTGAATAGCTGCCATTAGCCAGGATAATACAGGAGCAAGTCTGATGTGCATAGATTGCATCATTTTGAACAGGTTCAAAAGTCTGAGGGTTACCCAAGTAGTAACATTTAGTAGCAAGTTTAACTCAGTACAGTTTCTGAATTAAAGATACAGATTTAGGGCTTTGAGTCATTGAGTGAGATTATTTAGAAAAGATGAACAGAACTAGAAGCAAACCAAGGCAAAATCCTGGCAAACATCAACATTAGGAAAGAACTAAAGGAGAGTCCATGAAGGGGACTGGAGAGGAACAGCTGGACAAGTAGAGAATGAAACAAGTGACACTAGTCACAGAAATCAAGGGTGTAGAGAATTTCGGGAAGAAAGCATGACCAAGTGTCAAATGCCTCAGGTCAAATAAGGTGAGAAATGAAAAGTGCTTCCTGCTTTTGCCAATTAGGAGGTCCTTGGTGACATTTGCTAAAACAGTTTCAGTAGCAGAAATGGGCTAAGGAATGGGGATGGGGCAGAGAGAAGAATTTAGATAATTTCAGGACTTGCCTGTGCAAAGGAGCTGAGAGGTAAATAAGCATGCCAATTTTGATAAGGTTATTTTCTTTCCTTTTTTTTTGACTGGGAAACTCGTAGCCAACTAGCATAAAATGGAGGGCAGCTAAAGAGTAATATATAAGGGTGACCAGGTCAAAAGGAATTTCCTTAAACAGAAGAGAAGACTTCCAGTACAATGGTAAAGGGATACATACATGATCCAGTTTATGAGGGGAAAAGCCGAGTTCTCCTGGAAGCTGGCCTTTCTGTTCTGTTGGTGGTGATGGAGAAGGGACGGGAGGGGTAACGGACTACAGAATGTAAATTTGAACTGCACTCTGAAGGTCAAGGGAGAGATTATTGGCTATGAACAAGTAAAATGACTGCTTTAGGTGGCAACTCAATCACTGTAACCTCCCTAGTTTAGCTTTATGGAATTGATTCAAGATTGAGAGGGCAAAACCTTAGGAAAAACTATGTTTTAATTTACATGGTCGAGCATGAGATGAGTAAAGAAGTAAAAGTGATCAGAAGGCTGGTAAGTTTTGTAGAAGACAGAGAAGTCCAGAGACTAGCAGGTCTCAATGAAGAAACGAAGCTTGGGTAGGTTCAGGGGAAATGAGGTTTTAAAACTGTCTAAGACAAAGATGAAAAACAAAACGCCCACTTCTAGCGTCCGCACATCTCCCCGGGGCAAGAACCACGGGGGTGACAAACTACCTCTCCCGTGGTCGAACCTACACTACACTGGGAAGGGTTCCCACCCTGCAACCACCACCCCCCGCCCACCACATCTCCAGGTCCAGGACCCCTTCTACTTCACTGACAACAGCTCGGTGGCACCCATTTCCGCTGGACTCCGGCCAAGACGCGCCAAGCTGCACCTACATCTACGGAAAAGGAACCGAGTCAGGCCGCCCCGGGCTGCCCCGGGCGGACGCGGGCAGTTAAGTAAAGTGCAGTGGAGGCAGGACGTCCGCGCTCCGCTACCATTTTCGCCCCCATTTCCGCCCCACCCACCGCGCGCGCTCCCAGAGCCGCCGCGAGAGCTGCGGTGCCTGCCTGCACGCCTGCGCACTACCGCTCTCTCCGCGGCCTCCCGCTCTCCTTCTCCTCCCCCAATCGGTCGCACCCTTGCGCCTGCGCAGTGCAGGTTCCTGGGCTGCGGTAGCCATGCTGAACCCGTACGGAGAGGCGAGTGGGGGGGACAGGGTCGTTGACAGCGGGATAGGAAGCCGGGGATAAGGAAAAGCAGCAGTAATTAGAGCGCTCTGGGTCTCCGGAAATAGGCCTAGGTCATGCAGTTCCCTTGGCCCCTTGCGCGACCCCCAGGAACCTTCGAAAAACTGGCACCCATGGAGGTGGGGGAAGAGGGGCGGCTGCCACGTGACCCGGGTTAGCCAATCTGGATGTTGCTGACGTGGCCGCTAGGCCCTGGTGATTCCCCACCCCCCCCCGTTCCATCGGGAAGGGAGGGGCTGGGGGCTAAGCCCCCTCCCCCAACGCAGGTTCAGTTTCCTGGGGGGGGTGACACCCCGGATTACATTCTCCCCCCGCACCAAGCCGAGGGGAACATTGGATCCCCCCGGAAGGTTCCAAGATCCAGGTAAGAAGGGGCCCTTGGATGGGGATGTTGTCATTTACGTGCTTAACCAATGGTGGGGACTCCGAGAGGGACGTTCTTGGGGTTCAGAGTAGAATCCTGAGGGTGGGAGGGTTTGTCCTTCAAATAGTTAATAGCCAATGGGAGCGTGAAGGGGAGCGAGCGGGAGAGGGCACCTCTGATGGGGGAGGGGAATGGCCAATCTCATGCCTCCTTACCTATTGGAGGGCAAAGGGGCGTGGGGGCCGTGTGTCCCCCCCT